CCTCGGTTGCAGTTTGTCCTCGGCCCTGGTTGGGATTGTGCCGGAGGCAGCCACTCGATGTGTCCCTTTCATGTTGATGTTTCTTTCTTTCTCTCTCTCTCTCTCTCTCTCTCTCTCTCTCTCTCTCTCTCTCTCCCCCTCCCTCCCTCCCTCCCTCCCTCCCACTCTAATCTGAACAAAAACTGGAAAAATGTCCTCGAGTGAGGTTAAAAAATTTTTGTAAAAATATATGAACAAACAAAATGGCAACAAATACATATCTATCGACTATTGAATCTACAAACAAAATGAACAAGCAGAATAGAAACATTTTTATAGATAACAGAGAACATTTTGTTGGTTGCCAGATGGGAGGAGAGTTGGGGGAATAGGTGAAAAAGGTGAAGGGATTAAGCAGTACGAACTGGTTGTTAGACTGACAAACCTCAAAAGGAAGTGGGGTGGGAAGAAATAAACCAAAGAACTTATATGCATATATGCATAACCAATGGACACAGACAACAGTGGGGGAAAGGCAGGAGGGGGACAGGAGCAGGGAGGAGGGAGTCGATAGGAGAAAAAGGAGGAACATCCGGAATACACTCAACAATAAAGATAAGTTTTAAAAAAAAGTTACTGAAAGACACTCCTATGAAGCAAGAAAGAAATATAGAGTAAGAGTTTAAGAATAGAGAAGTTTTGATATTAAAAAAACACTATAGTCTCATGCCATGTAGAACTATATAAGTAAAATTAATTGATATAAGCACTGTATCAAAGCTGAATGCAAAAACATTAATTTGAAATGCATCAAAAATAAGATCAATTGATAGATGGAGGGATAGATATATATACAGGTATATGTAAAAGCAAGTACAGTTAAATGTTAATGGTAGAAGCTAAATGGCCAAGTATATTGTTGCTCACTGTAAAATTCTTTCAACTTTGCTATATGTTCAAAAATGTTCATAATAGTATGTTGGGGGAAGAAGGATTTCTAAAAGAGAAACATATCAAGGGCAAAAAAAAAGCTCAGCAATGATGATAATATGAGACCATAGACTAGAGGCTTACAGAGAGAGATAGGCCACTGAAGAAATTAAAAGCATCCTCATCTTCCAATAAGAGGGAATCAAAATCACTGAAATGGCCCTGGCGGGTTTGACTCAGCAGTTAGAGCATCAACCGGCAGACTGAAAAGTCGAGGGTCCGATTCCCAGTCAAGGGCGCATACCTTGGTTGCAGTTCAATCCCCGGCCCTGGTCAGGGTTATGCAGGAGGCAGCCAATTGATGTGTCTCTCTCTCTCCCCCTTCCTTCTCCTCCCATTCTATCTAAAAAAATAAATAAATAAAAATTTTTAAAAAATGGACAATTATCTTCAGGTAAAGATTTAAACAAAAAAAATCATTAAAATGGCCTTTAATGTTAAAGATTCCAATATGTTGTAGTGTGGTGTTTTTTTTTGTTTGTTTGTTTTTGTTTTTTTTTTAATATCTTCTCTTGGAGAAAAATAAAACCAAAACAAGCATATACCATATAGAAAAAAAATTTTTTTAAACTAACTAAAGAAAAAACAATGAAGCATAAAGCAAGGAACAGACAAACAAACAAGTGTAGATAATATGTGTAAATGGCTAATGTTCACCTGTAAGAGTCAATAGGCAAAATATATATAAAAAGACAAATAAGTGACTTGACCCAATCACGTATTTTAAAACTAACCTAACACATATAAAACTAATAAAGTATTAATGGGTAAAATGAACACAATAAAAAACATTTAAACAGATGCATATACACACATATAGATGTGGATTTAATATGGTAATAGTGGAATCACAAAAAGGAATGGTGAAATAAAAAGAAGAGAATAGCCCAGCCAGTGTAGCTCAGTGGTTGAGCATTGGCCCATGCACCAAGAGATTGCCAGTTGATTCCTGGTCAGGGCACATACCCAGGTTTTTGGCTCAATACCCAAGCAAGGGAGTTGTGCAGGAGTCAGCCAACCGATGATGATGTTTCTCTCTCATTGATGTTTCTCTCTCTTTCTCCTTCTCCCTTCCTCTTTCTCTAAAATCAATAAAAACATATTTTTTTAATAAGAGGAAAATAATGGTAACTAGACAAAGATAAAGTTGACTCCTAATCTCATATCATGCATGAAAATACTTAAATAGTTAAAGACTTTAAAAAAAAGAAAAAATCAAAGGACACAATCCAGAGTGAAAAGGCAACCTATGGAATGGGAGAAAAATATTTGCAAATCTTATATATGATACGAGGTTAATAAACAGCATATATAAAGAACTCCTGCAACTTGACAACCACCACCCAATTAAAAACTGGGCATAGGACTTGAATAGACATTTTTCCAAAGAACATGTACAAATCACCAACATGCACATAAAAAGGTGCTCAACATCACTAATCATTACAAAATTAGGGAAACGCATAGCAAAAATCACAATGAGTCATCACCTCACAGCTATTAGGATAACTACTATCAAAAACCAACCAAACAAACAAACAAAAAGAAAACACCAAAAAATAACAAGTGTTGTTGAGCATGCAGAGAAAGTAGAAGCCTTCTATACTATTCTTGGGAATGTAAAATGGTGCAGTTGCTATGGAAAACAGTATGGTAGTTCCTCAAAATATTAAAAATAGAATTAGCATATGGCCCAGAAATTCCACTTATGGGTATATATCCAAAAGAACTGAAAGCAGAATAAGAGATTTGTTTTTATTTATTTATTTATTTATTTTTCTATTCCTCACCTGAGGACACTTTTCCATTTATCATCAGAATGGGAGGGAGGGAAACAGAGAGACAGAGAGAAACATCAATGTGATAGAGCCACACTGACTGGTTGCCTCCTGCACAACCCGACCAGGGCCGGGGACGAACCGCAACCAAGGTACATGCCCTTGTCTGGAATCGAATCGAATCCGCAACTCATTGGTCTGCAGGCCGATGCTCTAACTGCTGAGCCAAATCGACCAGGGTTTTGTTTTTTTCTTTATTAATTTTAGAGAGAGAGGAAGAAAGAGAGAGAGAAACATCAATGAGAGAGAACATTGACTAGCCACCTCCTGCATGTGCACTGGGGATTTAGCCCACAACCTGGGCATATGCCCTGATGGGGAATCAAACCAGTGACCTTTTGGTACATAAATCAACACTCAACCAGTGAGCCACACCATCCGGGCAGAAAGAGATATTTGTACATCCATGTTTAGAGCAGCATTATCCATAACAACCAAGAGGTGGAAACCACGAAGGTGGATACCTAAAATGTTTTATATACATACAGCCTTTAAAAGGAAGGAAATGCTGACAGATGCTACAACAAAGATAAACTTTGAGGACATTATACTAAGTGAAATAAGCCTGTCAGAAAAAGATAAATAGGGTATGATTCCACTTATATGAGGTACCTAGAATAGTCAAATTCATAGAGACAAAGTAGAATGGTAGTTGCCAGGAGCTGGGGAAATGCAGAGTTGTTTAATGGGTATAGTTTAAGTTTTACAAGATTAAAAATTCTGGAGATTAGTTGCACAACAATGTAAATATACTTAGTACTAGCTACTTATACACTTTAAAATGGTTAAGATGATAAACTTCACGTATATTTTATCAATTTTTTAAAACAAAAAAAAATATTCAAAGCATTAATATAAGTTAAAGTAGAAAAATATAAGTAAAGTCAGAAGAAAATACAAGTGAATATTAACTGATAATGATAATAGAGGATTTCAATAACTAAAAGCAATGGAAGAAATCTCAAAATCAATAAACTTGAAAACAATTCTACATTGCTACATATAAAATTATGATTAAGCAAAACCCAAAAGCAAACAGTAAACTGGGGGGAAATAACTGAAACAAAATGACAAAAGATTAATATCCTTAATATATAAAAATCTCACAGTAATTCATTAGAGAAACAATAAAAACCCATTTTAAAAAATGAATAGCACATACATTTTATAGAAGACAAAGTTATTCCCCTACTGGGAATCTAAACAGTCTAAAATCCACACAAAAATTCATTAAAAAAATATTCTTTATATACAACAAAAAGAAAAAAGGAAACAATAAATATTGTTAGTAGACAGTTCAAATATTATACAGTCATGACGCTTCTGAAGAAACATCCATGTAACGTTAAAAACAGCAAGAATCGCCCTGGCCAGTTTGGCTCAGTGGTTAGAGCGTTGACCTGTGGTCTGGAGAGACCCGGGTTCGGTTCCCGCTAAGGGCACGTACTTCCGTTGCAGTTTGTCCCCGGCCCTGGTTGGTCGTGCGGTTGGCAGCCACTCGATGTGTCCCTTTCACATCGATGTTTCTCTCTTTCTCTCTTTATCTCTCTCTCTCTCTCTCTCTCTCTCTCTATCCTCTCTCTCTCTCTCTCTTCCTCTCTCCCCCCCCCACTCTATCTGTACAAAAAATGGAAAAATGTCCTCGGGTGAGGATAAAAAAAAAACACAGCAAGAATCTAATTTGGATACACAGTACTAACCCAATTACATTAAAACATATATAAATATGCAATACAGAGGTATACAAAAAAAGAGAGAAGGAATTTCTTTTCTTTTTTTTTTTATCCTTACCCAAGGACATTTTTCGATATTTTGTTCAGATAAAGTGGAAGGGAGAGAGAAAGAGAGAAACATTGATGTGAAAGGGACACATCAAGTGGTTGCCACCCACACAATACAACCAGGGCCAGGGACAAACTGCAACCAAGGTACGTGCCCTTAGCGGGAACCGAACCCAGGTCTCTCCAGACCACAGGCCAACACTAACCGCTGAGCAAAACTGCCCAGGGCAGAGAGAAGGAATTTCATTAAAATTTAACAACTCAAAATAATGATTATAGATTTTTTCCCCTTCAAATTTCTCTGTAATTTCAAAATCCTCTATAATTTGAATTCTCTGTAATTCTTTTTTAAAAACTAGTAAATGAGTTTTTAACTAAGCACTGTATAATTTGAAAATTCAATTCTACTTACCTGTTGTCATGGTTGGACTAAATAGTCCCAGCACTGACACACTAGAATAGGAGATCAGGTCTTTATATAATTCTCCACTTAAATATTCTTCTGCTTCTTGCACAGATGTTATGTTCACTGGACATGAAATCCTATTGCTAGATAAATATATAACTATATTCAAAATTAATTTTTAAAAATACTTTATAGCATGTAAAAAAAAATAAAAATACTGAACTTAGAAAAGACTATATGCCCCAGGATAAACATCCAACAAAATAAAGACAAATGCTATTCTAAGCAAACAAACAAAACTCACCCTCATTAAACAAAATTTCCATCTCCCCAAAAAGTGATGGAATGTAGATGAGCTCTGCTCATCACTGCCTGGCCTGTGATCTCAATTCTAGTATTCTCCTTAACTCATTCAAAGTGTGTCAAGAACATGTGGTAATTAGAAGTTTTATAGATCTAAAAGTTTAACAATCTTAGAATGAAGCTGAATACTTACAGCAGGATAAATTTTAGGAGCTCTGCAGCTCCTAACATACCACCATAAGGTACTGGGTTCTCGCCTTCCAGGTACATCTTTACAGCAGGATATTCAGTAACATTTTGCTGAGTACACACATCAGGCCAATCTGCACAGTTTATTCTAGTAAGTAGCATAGTGGATATGCCTAAATAGAAGAAAAGTGCACATATTATAAATATTAATGTAGAAAACTCAGTTGTTGAGAATTGGCAATATTTTTATGTTCCATTCTTATTTTAACCTCTCAGCAGCATGAAACACTGCTGTGGAACACTCTCTTCTTTTGATTTTTACACCTTCCACTATTGGCTTTTTTCCCCACCTCTCTTCCAGTCTAATGAATCTTAAATTTATATCTTGCCCAGCCTGTGTGGCTCAGTGGGTCTTCAGTTCGATTCCTGGTCAGGGCACACACCCAGGTTGTGGACCCAATCCCCAGTGGGGGGCATAAGAAGGTGGCCAATAGATGTTCTCGCTCATTGATATTTCTCTCTCTCTCTCTCCCTTCCTCTCTCTAAAATCAATTTTAAAAAATTTTTTTAAACCCTGAAAAAAGGTATTTAAAAAAAATTTATATCTTTGGCCCAGGCTCCTCCTGAAAGTTCCAGACCCATGTATCCTTACTGACTTATCTATTTCTGTTTGAGTGGAAACATCCTCAAAGTCATGCCTAAAACCAAATATGGTTTCCTTCCTGTATATATTGGTGAGCAGTGCCATTCTTGTACAACTCAGAAAACAAAGTATCATCTTTCATGCCTGCCCACTGCTAAGACCCCATGTCTAATCAAATCAATCAGCATATCTTTTCCATTCTACCAACTATATTTTAAATATCTCTTTTATCTGTCCATTTCTCTTGACTGCCACTACTCTAGTCATTATTTCTCCTGGATAACTACAATAGGCTTCATCTCCTTGAATTCAATATGACTTTACACTGAAACTACAAATGTCTTTTCAAAACTCAAATCTGTTTGGCTAACAGCCCACCCCCACCAACCTTTAGAGTTTGGTCTTTCTCACTGCTACATTTGTGTGGTTATCTGATTAATGTCTGTTTCTATTCAAGAAAGCTCCCTAAGGATAGGGATTGTGTCTAATTCGTTTATCATTGATTTTCCAGTATCTAGAACAGTCCTTGCACATGAAACACCTTAAATATGGGTGTGAATAAAAGATATACATGAAACTCATCCAAGGCTTCAGGTATCCATCCTGTCTAAATATTATAATTTCTTTTCAGCCTAAAAAGACACATAGTGGAATCCCAAAGAGAAATTCCCACTTGTTCTATAATAATATACGTAAAGTTCTCCAAACTATGTAAATCATTAGATAGAGATCAAAAACCAAGTAAAACAAGCACCATATAATTCAGCTGAAAAAGGAAGGAATAAATTCTAATAAAAGAAAACTAATATCATATTAGATCAAAGAAGGACTCTTTGTATTATCAATTTAGGATATAATTTAGGATGTAACCTAACCATCTGATTAAAACTGTGAATGCAGTTTTTTTAAAAAGATAGAGTGGGAGGGGAGGAGAGAGAGAGAGAGAAAGAAACATTGATGTGAGAGACACATTGATTGGTTGCTTCCCACGTGACCCCAACCAGGGCTGGGGATCAAACCTGCAACCCATGTACATGCCCTTGACCGGGAATTGAACCCACAACTCTTTGGTCTGTGGGCGGACACTCTAACCACTGAGACAAACCGGTCAGGGCAATGCAATATTTTAATCTTTTATCACCGAAAGGTTTTAATACTGAAAATTCACTTTTATATTTTAAATGATTCTAGATTATACAACATAGATGCGATAACTTATCACTAGATTTAACGTCAGCAATCTGTTTGACAATACAGGCAGGGTGTAATCTGTCTTATTTACTACTATATTCCTCTGCCTAGCACAATGTTGGTTACAGAGTATGTACCCTATAAAAATTTATGGAATATACCTTATATTTCTTCACGAACAAATTTTAAATTTTACACGAAAGTATATTAATACTTGAATATTGCATGAGAATACAACATAAATAAATCTTTATTCCTTCTAAAATTAGATCTGCTAAGTAACTTCTCTACAAAGTTCTCTTATCCTTTAATTATTTAGTCAATAAATATCTAGTGATGCTTGTTAATATAGAGTGCCATATTATACATCGCCACCAAAGTTTGGAATATAGTGCTGTTACAAATGCAGTTCTTTCCCTTCAATATACATCCCCAATTGGTCAACCACTGCTAAAAATGTTACTGTTTCTGCAGTCCAAGTTGAAAATGTTGATGTTATTTTTAAAACTGAAAAAAGAATATTGATACATACCACTAAACATCGTAAGGCTACCTATATCAAAGTTACCAATTTAAAATTTATATTTTCCTTTCTATAAAATGGTTTCAATATTAATCATGTTTTGATTGGAATAGTCTAATATTCTAAGATGCCTATAGTATTATATCCCAAGATGCCTATAGTATTATATCCCATACACGTTATCAATGCAGTAATTTCAAATAGGGTTCTTAATTTAAAGCGGGGAAAACAGATTCTCTTAGCTATAGATGCTATGTAATTATAAAAACCTGACACTTGCTGCCACCTTGTGACTGAGTATAAAATAATCCTCATTGTCGTGGATTAAGAGATGAAAAGTGACTTTTTCCCAAGTAGTCCATGTGAAAAATTACAGGACTAAAGTATTACACTATTTTCCTAGTTTACAAAGTTATAGTTTGGATTTCAACATAGACATAAAACACTATAGTGTTTTTACCAATACATTTCAACATTAAGCCCCCTGAACTTCGAAAAGTCCATTTATCTGATATCTAATTAACTAAAAGAATTGTTACTCATTAAGAACTAAATGAAAAAGGAAATCAAGCCCTGACTAGTTTGGCTCAGCAGTTGGAGCGTCAGCGGGGTGCGGACCAGAGAGAACCGGGTTCAGTTCCCGCTAAGGGCACATACCTCGGTTGCAGTTTGTCCTCAGCACTGGTTGGAGTTGTGTGGGTGGCAACCAGTCGATGTGTCTCTCTCACATCAATGTTTCTCTCTCTCTTCCTTCCTCTCTCCCTCCCGCTTTATCTGAAGATAAACGGAAAAAAAAAAAAAAGTTCTTGGGTGAGGATAAAAAAAAAAAGATCTTGAAAACCTCCGATGTTTTTATTACTATAAAAGATGTTATATTTAGGGTTGACTTTCTGGGATCAATTTCTTGAGTTGCACACCAGTCTACATTTTCCACTAAATAAAACAAAATTTACAAAACGCTATTATATTAGGCTATTCATTTATTCAACAACTACTAAAAAACAGACATTCTGGCCGCAGCCAGGTGATTCAGTTGATTGGAGAATCATCCCATAAACCAAAAAGTTTGCAGGTTCCTTTCCCAGGCAGGGCACATACCTAGTTTCAGGTTCGATCCTGTTCAGGGGCATATGGTAAGCAACTGATCGATGCTCCTCTCTGACATTGAAGTTTCTCCCTCTCTCTCTAAAATCAATAAAAATGCCCTGGCCGGTTTGGCTCAGCGGTTAGAGCGTTGGCCTGCGGTACTGAGAGACCCGGGTTCGGTTCCCGCTAAGGGCACATACCTTGGTTGCAGTTTGTCCCAGGCCCTGGTTGGTCGTGTGGGTGGCAGCCACTCGATGTGTCCCTTTCACGTCGATGTTTCTCTCTCTCTCTCTCTCTCCCTCCCACACTCTATCTGAACAAAAAATAGAAAAAATGTCCTCGGATGAGGATAAAAAAAAAAAATCACAAAATCAATAAAAATATGTCCTGGGGTAAGGATTAAAAAAAAAAAACAGCCCTGGCAAGTGTGGCTCAGCCGTTAAAACATGAGCCCGTGGACCAAGTTGTGGGTTCCACTCCAGTCATGGGCATGTGCCTCAGTTACAGTTTGGCCCTGGCCATGGTCATGCAGGAGACAACCTCCCTCTCTCTCTCTTCCCCTCCCTTCCTCCTACTCTATCTGAAGATAAATGAAAAAATATCCTTGGGTGAGGATTTTAAAAAAATGTTTTTAAAACACAGATATTTTGCAATGTAAGGTAATGTGCTAAGTACAGTGAGCTCAGTATAAGGCACACTACCGGCACGTAAGAAACTTACTAAATAATGAAACAGCAAAAACTAAATGGTGTATACATTCCTATAGTAGTCAAGAATAAACCTATTTAACTATAATAGCTTCTATTTACAAGAAAAACAGTAGGAAAAAAGCGTATTACAGATACGAAGCATGATACATTCTATCTTATTCAAATGATTACAAAATATTATCTTAATCCATCATCTCTCTCTCTTTTACTAACAGGCCTCTCTATGTCTTTGCTGAGATGGTGGCACAGACATTTTGAGTTCAAGTTCATTCGTTGGATTCTTAGTTCCTACCACTGGATCAGGTTTCATAGAATAGTTAAAATAAAAAGACCCTGGCTCTTTGATTAGAGTGTAACACTGGGTCTTATCTGTCAAATGTTTATTTAATAGTATTTAGTACTTATTTAATAATATTTAATAGTCACTGACACAGAGTAGGCACTCAATAAAATGCTTGCTGAATGATTGAATTCAGCCAAAAAGATTATGGATTAACTATGTGGCCAAAAATAATCAATACATGGGCTCGGTACTTTCTACTAAAAACAGTTTCATGAAGACAATAAAAATAAATGCTTCTGCCTAGCGTGTGTGGCTCAGTGGCTGAGCACTGACCCATGCACCAAGAGGTCACTGGTTTAATTCCAGGTCAGGGCACATGCCCAGGTTGTGGGCCAAACCCCAATGAGGAGCATGCAGGAGGCGGCCAATCGATGTTCTCTCATGTATGTTCCTATCTCTCTCTCCCTCTCCAAAAATCAATAAAGAAAAAAAGGATTTAAAAACTAATAAATGCTTCTAGAAACAAAGGGAAATGGTAAATGTGTGAGGTAATGAATGTATTAATTAGCTTGATTGTGATTATTTCACAGTGTATACATATATCAAAACATCAATATGTATACTTTTTTAAAAAATCTTTATTGTTGAATGTAGAATGTATTACAGATGTTCCTCATTTTTCCCCCATTGACCCCCTCCTCCCCACTCCCACCCCCCTCCCACCTTTTCCCACACTATTGTCTGTGTCCATTGGTTATGCATGTAAGTTCTTTGGTTTATTTCTTCCCACCCCCCAACCCCTTTCCCTTTGAGGTTTGTCAGTCTAGCAATGAATTTGTACTTCTTAATCCCTTCACCTTTTTGACCCATTCCCCCAACCCCTCTCCCATCTGGCAACCAACAAAATGTTCTCTGTATTTATGAGAATGTTTCTGTTCTAACTGTTCATTTTGTTTGTAGATTCCATTGTCAATAGATATGTATTCACTGCCATTTTGTTTGTTCATATATTTTATCTTTTTCTTCAAGAAGACCCTTCAACATTTCATATAATAATGGTTTGGTGGTGATGAACTCTTTTAACTCTTTCTTGTCTGGGAATCTCTTTATATGGCCATCGATTCTAAATGACAGCTTTGCAGGATAGAGTAATCTTGGTTGTAGGTTCTTCCTTTTCATCACTGAATATTTCTTGCCACTCCCTTCTGGCCTGCAAAGTTTCTTTTGAGAAATCAGCTGACAGCCTTATGGGTACTCCCTTGTAGGTAACTAGCTGCCTTTCTCTTGCTGCTTTTAAGATTCTCTCTTTGTCTTGAACCTTTTGCATTTTGATGATGATGTGTCTTGGTGTGGACCTCTTGGGGTTCTTCTTATTTGGGACCCTCTGTGCTTCCTGGACTTGTCTGTTTCCTTCACCAAGTTAGGAAAGTTTTCTGCCATTATTGTTTCAAACAGGTTTTCGATTTCTTGTTCTCGCTCTTCTCCTTCTGGCACCCCCAAGATGCGAATGTTGGCACGCTTGAAGTTGTCCCAGAGGCTCCTTACACTATCCTAATTTTTATGGATTCTTTTTTCTTTTTGCTGTTCTGATTGGGCGTTTTTTGCTTCCTTATAGTCCAAATCAATGGTTTGCTTCTTGGATTTACGTACTCTACTATTAAAACTGTGTAAATTATTCTTTATTTCAGTTAATGCCTCCTTCATTTCTGACTGTGCATCCATCATTTCTGATTGGTCCTTTTTTATACTCTTGAGGCCCTCACTAAGTTCACTGAGGTTCTCACTAAGTTCATTGAGCATCCTTATAAGCAGTATTTTGAACCCAGCATCTGTTAGGTTGCTTATCTCCATTTCGCTTAGTTCTTTTCTTGGGTTTTGTTCTGTTCTTTCATTTGAGACCTGTTTTGTCTCCTCATTTTGGCTGCCTCCCTGTGTTTGTTTCTGTGTATTACTTAACAAGAGGTATGGGGCTAGCTGAGACCAGATGCTGCTTGTTTGAAAGAACTTAGGAAAACCTGAAGGAGGATCCAAGACAGGCCAATCCTACGGTTAAGCAAGTGGCAACAGCTTGGGTGGGCCTGAAAGTTGGGTGGGGCGGGGCCTCAGGGAGTCACCAGGGCGGGGCTACCAGTGTGAGCCAGGTTGCTGGAGTCCCAGATGTGGCCGCTGTCTGCTGCCCCAGGGAAGGGCTCACCAAAGGAACAAAGTCCTCTGACAGCACGTTTGTCCCGGAGAAAGCCCCCTCTCCAGGCAGCTCTCACTCCAGTGCCAAACTGCTCAGTTCTTCCCTGTATGCCTTTGGTGCCCCTCGAGCTGCGTCCCCTCCAAGCTTAGAGGGAGAGAGTCCGATAAGTCCGTGCGCGGGCCCTTTAAGGAGCTGCCTGGGGCTCCAGCCGCTTCAGCTTCCCTGAGCCTCAGTTCCCGCTGGTTTTTCCAGCCAGAAGTTATGGGGACTTCTCTTCCTGGCACTGGAACCCTGAGCGGGGCGCCTGGTGTGGGACGGGTACCCCTCAGTCCTCAGGGAGGACCTTCCCAGGCCGAGGTGTCCTCCTGATTTTTATCCGCCACACGTGGGTGTGGGACCAGCCCGTCCCCTCCGCCCCTCCTACCAGTCTGGATGTGGCTGCTGCTTTAATTCCATAGTTGTAGGACTTCCATTCAGCATGATTTCAGGCGGTTTTGAATGATGGTTGTTCTGTAGTTTAGTTGTAACTCTGATGTGGTTGTGGGAGGGTGCGAAACCCCATTTACCTACGCCGCCATCTTGACCGGAAGCCCTATACTTTTTTTTTTATTCTTACTCAAGGACATTTTTCCATTATTTGTTCAGATAGAGTGGGAGTGAGAGAAAGGAAAAGAGAGAGAGAGAAACATCAATGTGAAAGGGACACATTGAGTGGCTGCCTCCCACACGACCCAACCAGTGCTGGGGACAAACTGCAACCGAGGTACGTGCCCTTTGCGGGAACCGAACCCAGGTCTCTCTGGACCACAGGCCGATGCTCTAACCACTGAGCAAAACCGGCCAGGGCTAAATACGTATACTTTTGATTGATCCATTATACCTCAATAAAGATGGAAAAATAATTATAAAGTCACATTTAAAAAATGAATGCTTCTAAGCATTTTTGAAATTAATGGTTAATTAACTTAACATTGGAGACAAAAACTTAACCTAAAACTTTATGCAGTTTTCTTCATCTTTAGCATAACACAGTTTTACAAAAAGCTACAGCTCAGAATCAAAAAAATAAGCATGCATAACACAGCACAATACCTTTCAATTTATTTGCCAAATCGATATAGGAATGCAAAAATGCCATGGATACTGCTTGCCCTACATAAAAATGAAAATTCAACAGATATTACAACATGTATATCTCCAAAGCATTCATACTTATACATAAGAAACAAAGCGATTGATGGGGTTTCCCAAAATTGTTACTTCTTAATAAGTATATAAGCTCAATATTGTTCCAAACATTTTAAAAAGTCCCAAATACAACTATTTTTCTGCATTCATAATGCAAGGAATATAGAAGGGCTAATATTGAAGATAAAAGCAATATACTTCCTATAAATCTGTAAGAACTGTTAATATATTAAAATCATTATCTTGAATCACAATATTTCTAAATTAACATGTTGAACATTTAGTTTAATTATTAACCTTAAATTTGTAAGTCAGATTAATCATTAACCTTAAATTTGTAAGTCAGATATCTATAATGTTTTACAACCCCAGAATCAGCTAGAAGTAAATGTTTCATATGGGCAGCCTACCTGGGACATAAGAAAGCTAGGTCATCTTACAACATGCAATATACAGAATGCAAAATTTAACTTGCCTACTTTAAATGTCCTAATATGTAATATAGTCTCCTCTAAAGATTCATACTCACAATCAGCATAGAAAAGCACCATGCTGTCAGATGCCATTATTGTCGTATTAAACGTCTCTTCTGTTAGTTCCACCGTGAGTTCCAAAGGTAAGTGTCTCTTCCTATCTCTGTAAACACTTTCTGCCACTTCATCATCTTCAATTTCTAAAACGTTTGAGAATAATTTAATGTATATATAAATGTATAATTTAAACTACTTAAGCTCTCTTCCCATGTGAGCTTATGAAAATTTAGTACTTTATAAATAAAAGCTTTTGAATTTGCACTATTTTATTAGTTTAAAATGTATGCTGTTTAGAAAACTTTATAGTTTCCTAGCTTCCTATCCTAAATAACTCTGAGATGCCTCCTGACTCAGAAACTATAAAGTTTTAGTCAAATCCAGAAGCATTTATTTAAATTTGTCAAAAAATACATATAATTATAGTTTCTAATAAAATATTAATTTATAATCCGAAAAGGCTGTGTTTATTTAGCTTCAGCTGTATGAAAAGCACTGTGATAGGCACTAGGGAAAGTAGCAGACAAAACAAATATACTCCCTGACCACATGGAGCTCCTATGTACGGAAAGGTCAGATAATAACCTGATCGCTGAATAAATATATAATTATAAATTGTGATCAGTTTAAGAAAGAACAAGGATACAGTGACAGATTATAACAGGGAGAGTTACACTGGGAAATTCAAAGTCTTCCAGGTAGAGAATCAAGAAAAGATGTCTGAGGCAAAAGTAGTAACATATGCATATGCAAAGGCCCATAGACATAAAATAGCTTACCATATACTCGGTATGAAGGAAGGCACAACTGACTAAAACAAGATGGGTTGGAGGAATAAATGGTATGAGAAAACTGTAGGCTGGCAGTGCCTAAATTTTAAGAGACTATATGAGCCAAGAATTTTGGATTTTATTCTAAATGCAGCAAGTTATGGTGGATTCTAATTATGTAAAAACCCATCATTAATTTAGATAGACAGACTGACTGATCAACCAACTCATCCATCCATCATCTATCCATCCATCCATTCATGTATGTGGTGAAAAATACATTTTGAGTTCGTAAATATTCTCTTGGAAGTTTGTATAGATCATATGGTAACACTGAAGAGGCATCCAACTTGATTAGAGAGACTATTAAAGCTTCCTGGAAGAGTTGACACTAACTGAATATTTAAAAAAAAAGAAAACTTAGGTGAGAAGTGAAAGAAGGTATTGGAGGCATACAGAACAAAGGGAACAGCATGTGCAAAGGCACAGTGGCACAAAAGAGCATGACAATTCCAAGTGCAAACACAGACTAGATAAATGACGGTATTAGAGATTCCTGGGGTTTTTATAGATGTAGCAATAATTATGTTAATTGTAAAAGGGGAATCCTTATATCTCTGAAATACACAGAGAAAATATTAATGGGTAAAATTATATATTTGGTATTTGCTACAAAATAAGGGGTAATAGTGATTGGAACAGAATAGCCATGGGTTGATGGTCGTTGGGTAGAGACAGGTAATGAATACCAGGAGATTTGTTCTATTATCCTGTCTATTTTGTGGTAAGTTTATAATTCTCTGTAATAATACAGTAAAAAAAAAAGGGGGGGGGGAGAAAGTGAGGAATATAATACAGTCATAGAATTAAAGTATTATTTTCCATATGACTTCTAATATTATAAAATACCAGATCTAAATTTCAGTTCATCACAGCAATTTTCAACTGCATGATGCTAGCCAATCACATAACTCTCTGGGCCTGTGTTCAAATCTGTAAACGTAAGAGTAGTAATGCATTAACATCAAGGTACTTTTAAATACCACATTCTATGACACTAAAAAGTTATGCCCTCAGTACCCAAATTGATAAAAGTCTATTTTGTTATTTACTACAGGTTGGACCAAAAGTAGGTTTATGTTTGTATGGAAAATAATAATAATACAAAAATAAACTGTTTCTTGTACTCACGACTGTAAACCTACTATGACCCACCCTGTATATATATATGTATTTTTTTCATTTTCCTGCCATTCCTTTATTTCCCAATCCATCCTTTCTTCTCTCTCTTGTTCCAATACCTCCTTTCCCTCTTTTCCAGTCTCTTTCTCCTAATAAGCTACCCTTACTCATCAATTTCCTTACTCCTCAGCTACACCTTGCCCCTATCCATTAATACATACATACTCTTTTAAGTCATACATGCTTAATGATTTTTTTCATATTGTCCTTTAGTAGAACTCAGTCCATTTTATTCTGATTTATCCTGTGCCCATTTCCTCTGTAGGACATTTTTCTTTGCGTTCCACTCTTATGTGGTAACACATTTTTTCCTAACCCTCATCTATTTTTCCTATATAAATGGGAATAAAACAAGAGGGAGAAATTATATATGTGGGCATGACGTCACGCAATATTATGGGCCAATATGCATTACAGACACAGGAAGTTAAGACTGAAAAAAAATCACAACAAAACAAAAAACAAAGGCAGAGTTATAAGAGAAATACTAGAACTAGGCTGGGAAAAGAAGGCAGGGAGAGAGTTGGTAGGAAGAGAGAGTAGCGCCAGAGTGCAAACTAAGGCCAGAGATTCGGGTAGCAATGGGGATGTAAAAACAAGGAATTCTTGAAATAGGTGACTCCTACCAACGAAAGAAATCTTATTAAGCTGACACCAAGCAATTTCCCCAACTCTGAAGACTGGTATATATTAACCATGATAGCAAAACAGCAGGAAACAAGAGACCAGAACACAGGTCTATCTATGGAATGATGATGCTATGGAGAAGAACTTTGGCTTAAATCACAAGCAATTCTAACCTCTGCATATCAGAAAAGAACTAGAACATAGCTCAAACTAAGAAACTGGTTATAGGTAACAGTTAAAGCTCAGAGCCCTTATTAAATTTATAATATAGATTTTGATCACAATAATGATGGACCTCATGAAAAAAATATACAAATTCCTTCCTTCCTGGTGCTCATAACAATACTATATAAAACATTCAAGTATTTACTAAATGGGAAACAAGAGTGAATAAGACATAATTCCTGCCTTAGAGATAGTATAGACTAGTAGAGAAGAAAATTAAATGAGCAATTAGAAATAGGACTCATGTCATGAAAAAGTATCAGGAATGATATGCTCATAAATAAGATTTCAAGTCAGAATGATTATTCTAATCCAGGCTCTACCACATGCCACTTTTATGACTTGGGGCAGATTGTTTAACTCTGCTAAAACAAAGATTATTCACCTACAAAATGAAGGTGATGCCCTGGCCGGTTTGGCTCAGCAGTTAGAGCATCGGCCCATGGACCGGGTTCGGTTCTCGCTGAGGGATTGTACCTCGGTTGCAGTTACCTCAGTTGCAGTTTGTCCCTGGCCCTGGTTGGGGTTGTGTGGGTGGCAACCAGTGGATTTATCTCTCTCACATCGACGTTTCTCTCTCTCTTTTCCTCCCTCTCTCCCTCCTGCTCTATCTGAAGATAAATGCAAAAATATCCTCCGGTGAGGATAAAAAGGCCAAATAAACAAACAAACAAAAAACCAAAATGAAGGTGACATTGGCTAACTCAGAAGATAATAATCAAAGTAAATAATGTGAAGAGGAATACCCTTGAAAATTATAGAGTACTTTAAAAATGTAAGCATTAGGAGCAATATGAAAAGAGAAATAACATGTTAAAAGTATTAAAATGTTATTAAAATTTACTCCCTACATTGTTAACAATCAGATTTATTTACAACTATAAATACAATAACGTTTGTTAAAATTTCACTTCCTAATAAGAATAATAAAAATAAAATAGCATGTGTGGCTCCTGGATCATTTTTAAACATGGAGTAGTAGGTCAGTAGGGTTGAAAGAACTGATGTGGAAGATAAAGGTTCAGATGTGGAAAGCTAGAAGCCTGACATGTAACAATGAAAGGTATCACGCTACACAAAATACAGCATCCTTATGTTTTTTCACCTAATCATTTTAATAAAATGTGATTCGAAATAAGTTTCTTCAGGTTTCTTCGTATCTTGAATGCAAATACATTCTATGAGAAAATTAATTCATTGACATTTCCTGTCTTAATGGATGCTGAACAGGAATGGGTGGGGTGAGCATCACGAAACAAATTACCCATATCTGGATCTTCCATGTCATCGTCTTCATCTTCTTGTGTTTGCTCAATGTATGTATTATTTTCTATGTAGGATATTACTAAATCAATATCATGAAACACCAAAAATTCCACTGGCATTCCCTACAAATAATTTTAAGAAACATAACTAAAATATAATAATGCATTTATTATAAAAACATTTTACTTGTTGACACAAAAATGAAGCTAAACTTTTAACTGCAATTTTAAATTAGATAAAATAAAAAAGAAAATTAACTCCATAGTCACTATGAAAAGTATCCAAAACATATTTTATATAAAAAGATAGTGTACACTACTAAAGGAGTTGGCAAAAAAAAGAACTGAAAGTCTCACTTGCAAGAGGGGAGAGGGGTTGGGGGACTGGGAGAAAAAGATGAAGGGATTAAGAACTACAAATTGGTAATTACAAAATAGTCATGGGGATGTAAAGTACAGTATAGACAATATAGTCAATAATATTGTGATAATTATGTATGGTGCCCAATGGGTACTTGAAATATATGGAAAGGAACACTTTGTAAAGTATATGATTGGCTAACCACTACACTGTACACCTGAAACTAATATAAAATAATACTGAACATAAACTGTAATTGAAAAATAAAATTAAAAAAAAGAAAGTCTTGCTTGCTTCTTTTCACAATTACATTATACTGAAATCTGAAACATTTCAATGTTAACAGTAAATCCTACCTCAATATAAAATTAAAATGTATACAATTTTATTGCAAACAGAGCCAATCAAAATTGTTTTGAATATTCCAAAGAAATATTCAAAATAATACTTACCTACTATAATCCTACTAAAAAGTTAAACACATAAAATTTAAAAACACTGCCCAGCCAGTGTGGTTCAGTGGTTGAGTACTGACCCATGCACCAATCGGTCGCTGGTTCGATTCCCAGCCAGGGCATATGCCCAGGTTGTGGGCCAAATCCTCAGTGGGGGGCATACAGGAGGCGGCCAATCGATGTTCTCTCTCATCGATGTTTCTATCTCTCCCTCTCCCTTCCTCTCTCTCTAAAATCAATAAAGAAAAAACTTTAAAAACAAAAATACTATCTGCCCCCAGGTATTTTAAGAACGCCCAGTTCTATTTTACTTGAGATTATTTCATTAAAATGTATTTCACGCCCAGGCCGGTTTGGCTCACAGGTTGAAGCGTGGGCCTGTGGACCAGTGAGTTCCAGGTTCGGTTCTGGTCAAGAGCACGTACCTTGGTTGTGGTTCGTGCAGGAAGCAACCAGTAGATGTGTCCCTCTTGCATCGATGTTTCTCTCTCTCTCTCTCTCTCTCTCCCCCCCCTCCCTCCCTCCCTCCCAATCTGAAGATAAATAGAAAAATATCCTCAGGTGAGGATTAAAAAAAAAAATGTATTTCACTAATGCCCAACAACAACTAGATTATTTTAGTCACCTTAACCCTGACTGTAACTACACATTAGAATAAAGTTAAAGAACAGCTTTAAGTGTGTCTATTGTTTTATATCACATATATTCTTTTCAATATTATATTCAAAGCAAGCAATTTTTTACTCCTGCAGAAACATAAAGGAGCTAAAGGGAAGATTAATCAAAATCAAACTGCGGTAAACTTTTTTTTTTTTTTTATCCTCACCCGAGGACATTTTTCCATTTTTTGTTCAGATAGAGCGGGAGGGAGAGAGAGGAAGAGAGAGAGAGAGAAACATCGATGTGAAGGGACACATCGAGTGGCTGCCACCCTCACGACCAACCAGGGCCGGGGACAAACTGCAACCGAGGTAGGTGCCCTTAGTGGGAACCGAACCCGGATCTCTCTGTACCGCAGGCCAACGCTCCAACCGCTGAGCCAAACCGGCCAGGGCAGCAGTAAACTTTTTTATTAAAGTATAACATTCTCCCAGAGAAAAACACAAATTGTAAGTGTATAGTTTGATGAATTATTACAAAGTGAACATATTTCTGTAACCACCACACAAATTAAGACACAACTTTACTAGCATACCCAGAGGCCATCTTCTTGTCTCTCCCTCCCTCAAAGGTAATCATTATTCTCACTTTCATCTATAAATGTTGCCAGTTTTTGAATTTATAGAATGGAACTCTTTTTGTGATGGCTTCTTTTGCTCAGCATTATATGCAAGGTTGATCCATGTTGTTACACATAAAAACAATTTAGCCCTGGCCGGTTTGGCTCTGAGGTTAGAGCATTGGCCTGCTGTCCAAAGGGTCGTAGGTTCGATTCCGGTCAAGGGAATGTACTTGGGTTGCAGGTTCGATCCTTGGCCCTGGTTGAGGTCGTGTAGGAGACAGCTAATTGATGTTTCTCTCTCTCTTTCTCTCTCTCCCTCCCCCTCCCTTCCACTCTATCTAAAAATCAATGGAAAAATATCCTCGGGTGAGGATTAACAAAAAAAATGTTTTTAAATAAAAGCAGTTCAGCCCTGGCCGGTTTGGCTCAGCAGTTAGAGCGTCCGCCTACGGTCCAGAGAGACCCGGGTTCGGTTCCCGCTAAGGGCATGTACCTCAGTTGCAGTGTGTCCCGGACCCGGTTGGTCGTGCGGGTGGCAACCACTCGATGTGTCCCTTTCGCATCGATGTTTCTCTCTCTCTCTCTCTTCCTCTCTCTCCCTCCCACTGTATCTGTACAAAAAATGGAAAAATGTCCTCAGGTGAGTATAAAAAAAAAAAGAAAAATAAATAAATAAATAAAAGCAGTTCATTCTTTTTCAGTGCTGAAGAGTATTCATTATATAAATATACTAGTATTTATTTATTTACTTATCCACTATACAAAATTAGTTGTATTTTAACAGTTTAAGACATCCATAACTAGGATACCAGCATTAAATTTAATTCTTCTACAAACCTATTTCCCAATAACAAATACTATAGTTTTTCATCTAAGTACCTATCTACTAGCAAAAAAAGAAAAAGGCTTCCGAAAGTATTCTATTTCCTAGTCAAAAGGCAGAGCATACTAGCCCCATACTATGCATATTTGAACAATATTACAGGGTTCAAAATATTTTTATATTTAGTCTCACAAAATTTCTTCTAAGTTAGAAGTGAGGTTTTATGACTATTCCACAAACAAACAAAAAAAATGAGCCTAAAGAAGTTGATTCATTTATCTGGTCCCAGAACTAGAAGAAACAAAATTCAAGTCTTCTGATTCTTAACAGTATCTCTGCCACAGACTTAGGCAAGAGAACTCAAGTATAAACTGTCTTACAGTTTGTAAACCTATTAATCAAATTTATAGCATATGTACATGTACTATTTAGAAGATGTTCAGAATTAGAGTTCTTAATAACTATGAAAAACTTTTAAATATTTAAGAAAAAAGAGACATTAACAGAAATTTGCAAAGTAAATATAAATGGCCAGTAAAGTTTCAAAAGTTCAACTTTGTCAGTAATCAAAGACGTGAATTAAAAATAAGAACTTCCTTTGCTTTAAAGAAAGATTATTTTTTAAAATTATTATTAATGCTCAGTATTGGCAAAGATGTATGATAAACAAATAATTCTAAATCCTTTCAGTAAAAGTATATCCCTTCTGGAGTGAAATTTGACAATGTATTTTAAAAACCTTAAAAATTCCCATTTCCTTTGACAAATTTCACTTCTAAAAATTTAGCCAAAAGAAAGAATCGGTGATACTCAAAACAATATACAAGGGTAGGTATCATACCCCAATAATAAGTAATTTAATTTAAAGTGAAAAGTAAGATATATAGCATGATCCTAATTTTCTTAAAAAAAAAAAAATATATATATATATATATATATATATATATATATAAAAAGACAACTAACAAATGAAAAAAGCACACCAAAATATTAACAGCAATTATGTTTAAATAGTGGCAATTTACAGAATTTTTCTATAATAAGCATATATTACTTTAGGACCATGTGTATTAACTTTCTTTAACAAGCAGACATTGTAGACCAATACACAAAATGACTAACCTCTTCTCTTTTGAAGACCATATTAGCTTGCTGAGGAATGTCCACTTCCAAAGAGTCCCTTTTTCAAAATGGAAATAAATGTTTTATGTTGCTAATCTGAAGAATAATAGTCATCCAGGATGTCAATCTAAAAACAGAACTGTAAATTCTCACACTAAAATAAAATTTATGAAAATAGATTACAATTTCGTGAGTCAGAAATGTCACACATAAGTACAGACCAAATTTTCTGGCCTCTACCTTAATCTATATCTTTATTTAGAAAAATTTTAAGGTCTAAATTTTTTTATCCTCATCTGAGGACTTTATCTTGAGATATAGAGCGGGAGGGAGAGAAGGAGAAAGATAGAGAAACATCGATGTGAGAGAGAAGCATCGACATGAGAGAGATACACTGAGTGGTTGCCACCCACACGACCCAAACTGGGGCCAGAGACAAACCGCAACAGAAGTACTGCCCTTAACGGGATTCAACCCGGGTCTCTCAGGTCCATGGGCTGACGCTCTAAACACTGAGCAAAACCGGCCAGGACTTTAACCTGTTAACCTAGCGGGTATAAATACGTCAAACGTTGCATACAGTAAAAAGGGAATTCCCCGGTTAACAGGTTAAGGTCTAAATTTTATTCAAGCTAATGACTATAGATTTTAGCTCAGCAATTTGTTCTAACAATATTAGAATCTATTACAGATTTGAACTTACAAGTGAATAGATTACCACATTTAAATATGAGAAAAAATGATAGTGTTTTACTAAACACAGGGACTATTTCATGTTTAAGATACCTTAACAAGAGTAGAACTCCTGCTTTTCCCAGAAGACGCCAAGCAACCCATTCTGCAGTTCTTCTATCAGCTTCATATGTAGCTTGTTGACTAACAATAAAAACCAGTGGTAATCCTAGTTGGAGATGAACAGTTGAAACGTGTTGAGGATCTTCAGCAACTTCAGTCTTCATTTAAAAAAAGAACAAAATGTAATCATAATGTTTCAAATTTGGATTTAAACCCTGCTAATTCTTATTAATAAAGTCATGGATAAAAGAACAAGTCTATGAAATAAATCCAACATTCCCAGAAATGGTCTCATAATTTCTAAGTTGAATACTTCCAATGTACATTATAAAACTAACAAATTTTATGAGGTTAAACATAAAATTAAAACCATAAGGAATAAACACAGTATAAAGAAAAAACAAACAAATACAAATAAATCTGTGGTACTGACAAAGAGATAGAGATTTCAAATGAAATAGAACAGATAACTAAGGAATACATTCTTTCATATAAGAATTTAACATATAACACATTGCAGAACAATGAGGAGCATCTGAGTTAAGAGAGCAGCTTAAATACACACATCTAATTTCACTCCCTCCAGAAATCCCACGAAAACTTCAGCAGTAGGATAGTTCAGAAGAGACAAACATACATATGTGAAGAAATGAAAAGAGAAAAGGCAGCTGCTAAGGAACAGAATAACTGATTCTATAAAACAAAACTCTAAGCAAGACAATTCAATTCTAACAGAAGAATAAACCCTAAAATTGCTCAGGACCTGTCAGTGCCTGGTATCCCTGAAACTGAGAAAGAAGTAATGAAGAAAGCATGGCAGGAACGCTCTTTAAAAAAGGGAGAATAGGTCAAAGCTTTGGAGAAGTAGTTAGACCCCTACATGAGCATGGGCAACTTCCTCATACCAGGAGAAATCTGGGGGGACTTCAAGTAACAGCTGAGAGTGTGAATAGCATGCCAAAAGCAGGGGAATTAGGTAATCAGATACTAAGAGGATCCCCAGCCCCCATCCCACTCAGTTCCCAGAATGCTAGCAGCCAGACTTCTGTCTGCTGGCAGAAGACTGGAAGATCATTTTCAGGGGATCTTGAGTAACCCTGAGTCCTCTATTCTGTGCTGTTTGAACTGCCAAGCCTTTCTAGGCTGACACCAAGGTCTAGGTTCTCAGCTTAGCCCTCCAACCAGGCACCGACTTCAAAACTACATTACATAATTCATGGTAAGCATAACAAAGTGAAATGAGATTAGAGAATCTCCCCTCTCATTACCTATCTTTAAAAAAATAGTTTTTTAAAACAGCAAGAGAAAAATACATGAACAAAAATTTTAGGACGGGGCACAACTTCAAGTCACAATGTTGTAGCCAAAGAAGAAACAGATTTTTAGCAAAGCTTAGGATAAGTCCTAATCCTGCCTCCAATTGCAAAAACAGTACTGGTAAGTAGACAAAATTCTGAATTCTTAATAATATCTCAATATTGAAAGAAGAGGGAATGAGGCTGGAGAGAAACAAGGAAGAACTGTAAAGTGAATGGATATCTCTCTTTCAGGGCTCTATGCTGAAATGGGAGATCAAAACAAATTCATAGGGTATTCTCCCCATGGAAATAAAATAAATGTCCCTCCTCCAATGTGAAGAACAGGGGAAAAGACTTACATACTTTTTTTTTTTTTTTTAATGTGTCATCTTTTTTTTTTTTTTTTTAATGTTTTCTTTATTGATTTTAGAGAGAGGAAGGGAGAGGGAGAGAGAGATAGACACATCAATGAGAGAGAACATCGATTGGCCACCTCCTGCAAGCCCCCCACTGGGGATCAGGCCCACAACCTGGGCATGTGCCCTGACCGGGAATCAAACCGGCGACCTCTTGGTGCATGGGCTGCTGCTCAACCACTGAGCCACACCAGCCGGGTTATACTGCTTTTTTAAAAAAAAAATTGTTTGAAGCCAAAATCAAACTAAACAAAACTGACTCAAAATAAAGAACTCAGGAATGAAGCCAGTAAAATTGGGGCTGGTGAGCTCTGAATCCATTTAAATGTAGAAGCAAGGCTTTTTAAAAAGTGAAAATCATGGTTATAGAACATAAAATAAATATTATAAACCTTAATATGTAAAAATGACACAAAACTAACAATAATCAGCAGGGTAAGAGAAACTGGGATGGAAATAAATGTATAAAATTAGTTTTATCATCTTTCACAGCAAGGGGTGAACAAATACTATCTTAAATGAAAGCATAGTTTTTTTTAAAAATAATGATTTAATTTCCTAATGTTTTTCATAATTATTTTCAACACTTATGATGGTATTTCCTAAGAGCCCTCTAATGATGAAGAAATGGTTTATCAAAAGTTCCATAATCCCACTAGCTTCACATCAGTCTCTTTTTCTTCTATTAAATTCAAATAAGATTAAACATAATCTTATTATAAAGCAGCATATGCAATATGTGATAGCCATTAATCCATTCATCCCTCTATTTGTGAGTGTCTTCATGGAGCAGAAATGACTGTTGTGATGGTCACCTGACAGTTCATTTCTGAGTGATGGGATTAGGCGGCTTTAATTTTTTTTTTCTTTATACTTTGCTGCACTGTTTGAATTATTTATAATACATATGCACCATTTTTATTTAAAAAGGACGTGCTGAGTGAAAAGTCCTACTGAAGGTTTTACACATGCTCAGGACAACACTTCAAATTTTCAGAGAGAAAAGTCTGCTGATCACCAACACCTACTGAGTCTCTATACCTACTGAGTCTATAAAATCTTCCAGGCTAACACTAGAGAAAGAGGAACATCAGAAATGTTGTACTTCCAATATTCACCAACTTTTAAAATAGTGATCAAAATATTCACAAGAGGTCTTTTCTTGATCATGATGTGGTCTTTGTGATCTCAGGGTGGTCACAGAGCACTATAACTACCACAGCATATTTACACAAGGCTATATTTGGGTTTCAATGCAACAATACTTCAAGGCATTAAATGAACATTTTATAAACAGTCTATCATCTCTTCTACCCTTAATAAGCAAATACTCCTAAATTCCTCTAAATTAAAGACATATATTTCTAAGGAAAGGAGAAAAGATTTAGCTCGTCTAAGTAAAATGCATCTATGCGAATCAAAACAATAAATTTAATGTACGAATTATCTAATATATTAAAATAAGACACATACCAACAGAGGTGCTTCCATTGACTTAATAAATCGATAAATGTTCAATGTGGTCAATGGCTGTCCCATTAGTGTTCTTCTACACTGCTGGGTCAAGTCCAAAACTGGTTTACAATGGAAAAAGTAGAGATGTGCATGTTCTATATCCTCCATGCTGTAAATTAAAAATCAGGGACCAGACTCACTTGAAGTTCAATGTGCGATCCTTCTACCATCCAGAAAGACATAATAAATCTCTTTAAGTCTCATGCTTTTGAATTAATGTTTCAGTAAAAACCTAAAAAAGTATAATAAAATGGACCTAAGCTAAAGATACAGAATATTAAAGAAAATTAACCATATTTTTAACAAAATACATGGGTTGCATAAGTAATTTTTTCCCTGAAGTCTTTCATATGGTAGCTTCTAAATCAGGGTAGAGGCAGCTCGACATAAATTTTTGTTTAAATAAAAGGCTGTCACCTTGAGAACAATAAAATTATCTTCAAATAGTATTTATTTTCTTTTTGTTGCTGTTCTTATTAATCATCACCTGAGGATATTTTTCCATTGAATTTTAGAGAGAGTGGAGAGAAGGAAGGGGGGGAGGGAGAGGGAGAGGAGAGAGACACATCAACTGGTTGGCCTCCTGCACAACTTGACCAGAGCTGGGGATCGAACTTGCAACCCAAGTACATGCCCATGAACTGAAGCAAACCCTTCATCCTTCTGTCCCAGGGCTCACGCTCTCACTGCTGAGGCAAACCAACCACGGCTAGTTTATTTTCTAGAGATATGCTAAATAAAGCTTTCTAACACAAATTTTCTAGGTTTATTTTAAACCCAAATCTGTTTTGAATAAACTTCAGTTAACACATGCCTTAAGATAGAAACCATGTGATACTTTGTGGGAGTTTGTGAGTTTGTATCTGAAATATTATAAAACTCGGCAAATATGGCTTATAATTTGAGTTTTGGCATTCCCCTCAATATGAGAATTCAAAGATAAACTTATAGTGGGTAAGTATGATTTGCCAAAATTAAAATAACATTTTAAAAAATCCCCATATGGCATTAGTAGAGTTTGGCAAAATACTGCAATTTTTTTAAAATGTTATTTTATTTCTTGATACATACTTAAACTGAGCTCAAAGGTTCACTGATTTCCAATGTAATTATAAAGCAATTTCTAATAGATTCAATGATTAAAGAAATGATCACTTGCCCAGCCAGTGAGGCTCAATGGACTGAGTGTGGTCCCATGGACTGAGAGGTTCTATTCCTGGTCAGGGCACATGCCCAGGTTGTGGGCTCAGTCTCCAGTAGGGGGTGTGCAGGAGGCAGCCCATCAATGTTTCTCTCACATCAATGTTTCTATCTCTCTCTCCCTTCTTCTCTTTCTAAGAAATCAATAAAAACATATTCTTTAAAAAAATAAATGATCACTCAAAGATGTACTTAATGCAAGCTGTATATTAGGCCCTATGCTAAAATACAAAAGACTAATATGAATAAGACAATTCAAATCCATGAGGGGCTTAAACTAAAAGAGATATATTTAGTAAAACAATTAAAATGTAGTTTATAAGTGCTATAATATACAAAGTGCTATGAGAACAAAGAAATATTTACTTCTGCCTCTAGTTGAGGAAGAGAAAGAAAGGGTTCAGGAAGATTATCACAGAGATTAAAAGGGAAAGAAAGACTTCTCCAAGATAAAACAAATGGGTACTTCAGACAAAAGAAATAGTATAGCACATGCGTTTTTGAGGGGATCCTAAATAGTCACATATTGAAAGGAAAGTGTTGAGAGCAGGAGGACCTAGCTGAGGCTGGAACTCATCATAGAAATAACAATGTTGGAAAGTTATTTAATCAGGGATCATTTGATTATAGATAACAGAAAGCAAAAAGGGGGGTGGGGGAGAAACACTTATTGGAAGTTTAGAAGCGAATCTCACAGAATACAAGGAAAATTAAAGTAACAGGACCAGAGAATAAATGTAGAGATCTGAACAGCAAGAGTTCTAAGACCTTCATTTTGCTGTTACTCTTCAGCTCCCAACTCTCCAGAAAGACAACTTTCTCTGCTTTACTTCTATATGGGCAAAACATTCCTGTAAGCAAGAGAGTCAAAACACTATAAGCGTTTTTTTCTAAGTTTCTGGGAAAGGGAATCTCATTTGCTCAGGTAAGCCAAAGCTTGGTTGGGCCTAGGTCAGGTGATTCCCTCTGAATTAATTCAGTGTGATATGTATGGAGTGAAGGTAACATTCATCTTGGCCTATACACAGATTCTTTAAGAAGGGAATACAGGGAGTTAGCAGAAAGTACTGGTGTCTCTGTGGCATGCTACCTCTTTTACTACTTGTCAGTATACACCCTTCTTAACCAAAATATAATTTCAAGCATTAAAGCCCAACATTATATAACAATTAATATATTAGTCTCATCCACTATTATAGCCCAGCAACTGGAATAGCGCCTAGCACACAGAAGGTTTTCAATAAATATTTATTAAATGAAAGAATAAAGACATGAAAGAAAAAAAGGCATTTGCCTCTCCCCCATTAGGAGACAATCCAAAGTTATAGCCAGCTATTTCATCCAGATGTGGTGTCACAGGACCACTGTATTCTATTCATAGTCGTTCCTCATTATAGCAGGTCCAGGTAAAACTCCTCACCATCTTGTTATCCATAAATAAATGAGAATTCAAATATCTCCAATATATCATATACTCAAAAGGATATAAAAAAAATGGGATAACTGTACACGTCTTAATTCCCATTTTAAAAGGGGAAAAAAGCAAATACCCTTCCAGAACATTACTGTGCTTAGTCATAGGTCAGAATGAAAAATATATGTAGTAAATCTTATTGAACAGGATTTGTAAAGTAAATGACAGGACTTATATTACCCTGTCCATAAATAACCACTCCCTGTGTTTTAAGCATGTCACTATTATTTGCAATTATTCATTGCGTATCTGAAAAACAAGCTGGTAACACAAGAGAAAGTACAAACAACAAACCCTAAGAGAAACTGTGCAACCACCACAGAATCACCATAGGGTGAGGAATAACAAGATCTCCCCTGTTCCAGGACGGGAAATTGGCAGTTGGGAGTAGCAAAGTAGCTGGCTAAACGACTTATTGTATCCTGAGACTCAGTGACTACTTACAGTAAAGCTTTATGGTACTGTCAGCATAACTCTCAGATTGTTAAAAACATTCCTTCTTATAGGAGTAGTAAACATGCATCAAGTTTTATTTAACTCATTAATGAGGGAACCAGCAGAATGACAATTCAATACGAGACTAATGGAAAAGGAAAGCTGGCTGTCATACAGAGCAACAAAAGCATAACTTCTCTTGCAGGAACTTTATTTTCTGCCAACCCATTGCCTGCCCCCAACCCCCAATCATTTAACTTTACCAGTTTTCTATGCACTAACCTCTAAATTTACAGAGCTGTAAAATGTCTGGGATTTAATTAATTGTGTGTGGTATACCAAATAATCATTATTTTCTGAGAGGTCGGCAAAAGGACTCAAAAAACTTGCATGGTATAAAAAGGTCACATGATCACCATTTGACCTTGCTTTGGACTAATTTTTCTGAAGAGCATTTTAAAGAAAGTCTTTAAAATGCACTGGTTATTCCTTGAATTCCTAAATAAAGTAAAGAAAAATTTAACCCTACATTACCCAGACAACAGTCAAAAGAAGGCCTCTACTTAAAATTGTAAGCTAGGAGTAGGCAAAAAAGATAAACATCTAAAATATTCCATTCAAAACTGTACTTAAGCCCAGCCAGTGTAGCTCAGTGGTTAGGTGTCGAACCATGCACCAAGAGGTCGCCAGTTGGATTCCTGGTCAGGGCACATGCCCAGGTTGTGGGCCTGATCCCCAGTGGGGGGCATGCAGGAGGTGGCCGATCGATCTTCTCTCTCATCGATGTTTCTATCTCTCTCTCCCTCTCCCTTCCTCTCTCTCTCTAACATCAATAAAGGGGAAAAAAAAAAAACTGTACTTAAGCCTGGCCGATGTGGCTCAGTGGTTGAGCGTCGACCCATGCACCAAGAGGTCGCCAATTCAATTCCCGGTCAGGGCACATGCCCAGATTGTGGGCCTGATCCCCAAAGCGGGGCATGCAGGAGGCAGCCAATCGATGTTCTTTCTCATTTCTGATGTTTCTCAGAAACATCAAACACATGATGTTTCTATGTGTCTCCCTCTCTACTTCCTTTCTCTCTAAAATCAATAAAGAAAAATTATTTTTTAAAAAACTGCACTTAAATATATTTGAGATTATAACAAAGTAATTTACAGAACTCTCAGAAAGAATTTCTAGAGCTTAATTATGAATGCTGCTATTTTATCACTTATCTCATCATTGTAGGAGGTCTATTCCTAAAATACACTTGGCCAGTCATAGGATCACATCTTGTGGCTTATCCATATTGTCTTTATTCACCTTAGTCTAGCATCATTTTCATTTTCAGATGGTAGTACAGCAGATGATAGAAATGAAGGGAATTTCAGGTTTCATTTATCTATTCACATCTGCTTACAATTCCTCTTAGACAAGTCCATGCTGTGAGAGTATAATAGAAAAATAATAAATAACTAATGTGAAATAAGTAAACTTCAAATTGTGGACATATGCCTCTCATACATACCCAATACTTTCCAAAAGAGCGATTTCTGTGGTTAAAACAAATTGGTATGTGGTCCCATACACAAAAGCAGCTTCCATGACTGCCTTATGCTCTGAAGGAGAGATAAGGGAGTTGGGAAAGAGAAGGAGTTAGTTTGTATGACTCTACATAAATGTCTGTTCTCTAGACTGCCCTACACCCTTTTATGCTCTATTATATTTAAAGAAAAAATCCTTTGTAGGAATCCCATTTGGGAAAATGCGGGCTGTTAAGGAATATAAAATTAGTTATATTTCAAAATATAACATGAAAAATCAGTGATAGTTTCCTCCTCATAGTAGGGAAGAGAATATGAATCCACCACACAACTTTTATATGTTATATAATTATATATGTATGTATCTGTGTATTATTTCTGGCTTCTTTTTTTTAAGTCAAATTTATTCTTAAATATAGTTTAAGGAGACAAATCATTCTATAGGCACATTAAGAACAAAAAACAATTTTCCCACCTTCCACCCCATTTCCAATTTCCAAGGGACAACTACTTTCTCTCTCTCTCTTTTTTTTTTTTTTTAATCCTAGCCTAAGGACATTGTTTGCATTTATCTTCAGGTAAGAGTGGGAGGGAGAGAGGGGGGAAGAGAGAGAAAGAAACATCAATGTGAGAGAGACACATCGACTGGTTGCCACCCACATGACCCCAACCTGGGCCGGGGACAAACTGCAACCAAAGCACATGCCCTCAGCAGGAACCGAACCCAGGACTCTCTGGTCCACGGGCCGACACTCTAACCACTGAGCCAAACCGGCCAGGGCAGGGACAACACCTTTCGACTCCTTTACTATTTCTTTGTGTATTTACCTCCAATTCTTTAAGTTAACATTGTTATACTCTTATTTCCTAATTTTTTTGTGTTAGATTATCTATTGACTTCTCACTGTGGAAGATGATAAATTAGCTGTTTTCCAAAACCCCACTCCACAAATATACACATTTCTATACCCAATAAAGTTCTAATTTTTCCAATATAGTTCTAACTTTTATTAAATCAATAGTATTTACATTGTTATGAGTCAGTAAGTACTATTTACAAATGAGCCATATAGTACAAAATGGACACTTTTTTTGAATAACTTTTTTTTCACTATAGTTATACCTATTTTTTTTTTATTTTTGTATAGATTTCTTACTAACTTATTCCTAAATTCTTGCACAATTATCTAACCTTCTTAATACTTCAAATATATCAGGTACCCTATATATTCCTTCTTCTTGGAGACTTCTCTGCAGAAATGCCCAATATAGACTATTGCTACTTGACCTAATGCACAATTTTCATCCTGAGGACTTACTTCATCATCCTCCTGTGGATCTCTTATTCTCTCTCTTGTATTAGATCTGTTGGCCTTTAACCCACATCTTCTGAACTGATTTTCCCCCTTGCTCCCATTCTCTAGCACTTCCTATGAAAGCATATACAGAATACACATTTTTTGTAAGCATGTACTTCTGAAAGTATCTTTATTCTACTTTCATAACCAACTCTAGTTGTCTGCTTATAGAATTCGAGGTTCAAGTCACTTCTCCTGAGAATTTTGAAAGCATTGCTCCATTTTCTTCATTTTCCAGGGCTGCAAATGAGAAATCCAATGCCATTTTTTTTCTTGATCCTTTTTTTTTTTTCTATTTATTAATTTTTTTTTTTTTTTTTTTTTGGTATGTGCCCCTAGTGGGAACCGAACCCAGGACTCTCTGGTCCGCAGGCTGACACTCCAACCGCTGAGCCAAACTGGCCAGGGCCAGTTTCCAATATTCTGAAATTTCAAAATGAGATGCTTTGGTGTGGCTCTACCTTCATCCACTATGCTGGGACTCAATGGGCTCTTTCTATTTGGAAGCTTGAATCCTTCAGGTGTGGGAAATTTTCTTCAAGTGCTTCTTTAAAGATTTCCTCCTTTTCATATTGCCCCCCGCTTTTCTCCTCACTGTCATTTCCAGGCAGTTACCTTGCCCTCCGCCACCTAATCTTCTACCACTTATATCACATATCATCAGATAGTCCACCCACCACTCTGCCTTGTTGGAGTCATCCACCACCCCAGCCAGGGTCACTCCCCCTCGTTACACAAAGATTTTAGCTTCTGTCACACTGTCACTTTCTCCAATACTACTCTAGTCCTAATCCTTGGTGATTTTATCCTCATAGATGATCCTTTCAAAATCCTTGGCCTTCTCTATAGACTCCAATGATCTTTCTTCAACCCGACCGTAACCACTCACTGCTATGGTCCCACTGCAGGTCTTTGATCAGCAATCACTGTAAACTCCTCCATAATCTCAATGCCTAGGATCCCCACTCCACCTCCATATCTCCATCTGACTAGGCCACTCAGTCCAGCACATAACTCTAACCCTCCAGGACCTACAGTATTACCACTTCTCACTGTCAGTCACCCTCAGGTCCTCTCTTCCCTCATAACCCAGCTTAAATTCCATGGACACTCTTTATAATCATCCCCCTGCTCATCTGGCTAAAACACAATCCAGGTTAAATCAAATGCTCTACCTATTCTGTATTTACACAATGATTGACAAATTTAGATTTTTGACAAATCTAGAAAAGTACGTCATAAACAGTAAATACCAAAATATTTGAAAAGAAAGCCAGTCAGTCAATATTTTCTGAATACTATGAACTACTATACCAGGTACCGTGAGGACTGTAAGGAAACAAAAACAGGAACAGCTAACACAAAGCATCTAATATATACTAGGAACTATTTTAATTATTCAAACTCATATGGTCCTCACAATAACGCTAAGAGGTAGGCACAATTTTTTTCACCATTGTAGAGATTAGGACACAGATTAAGTAAACTGTCCAAGGTCATCCTATAAGTAATTGATGGAGCAGGGAGCCTAACCTAGGCAGTCTGGCTCCAGAGTTCTTATTCAACCACTATATTTTGCTGTCCGATTAAAAACAGAAAACATAATAGTAAAGGTGCTTTAAATTTATTTTAGAATTTAAGCTTGTGATAAAAATACACTATTTTAAGTTCTTCAATACACTCACACAAGTACAGATGCACAGCAAAGATTACAGTGAAAGTTAATGAATACCTGGTGTTCCGATGGCTCTTACATATGAAAATGCAATGTTTGCTTTTCCTTTCAGAGCATTTTCTATATTCTGAAGGTCTTCGAGGGTGGTAATATATTTTACTTCATTAAAAAGAAGGGCACTAAAATAAAGAGATGTAATTAGTAATTACAGAAAAATCTGGTATCAACTTATTTAATACATATTTGTTGAATAAATTAAGGAACCTAGTAAAAAAATTTAATAAGAACCTAAGCATTATAATGCTAAACTACAATCACTCTCTAAATCATTAGTCTGTCTCTGAGAACATCGACCAGGAACAGTTGTGAGAAATAGTGCTCCTTCACCATCACAACCACCTCAATGAATTTAAGCTGTAGTCACTAACATCCTAGTCTGGTCAAAAATCCCTTATGGTTAGTTCTCTCAGTCTGAATACATCTGAGCCCTTCACACATCTAAAACACAGGCTTTTTTTCCGTGGACCATAAGGTCCTGCATGACCTAGCCCTTGCCTACTTTCCAAACTCATTTTGTTCTACCATCCTCAATCCCACCATAGTTTACACATACCTCAGGGCCTTTGCACACACAACTCTCTCTGCTGAAAGCTATTCCCGGAGCTTCTTCTCATACATCTGGTCTTTGGGAAACCTTCTCTGTTGGTACTGTGTAAGTAGGTCTGTACCATGTTCCTCTTTTATTTCACACTATTTGATTCCTTCCTAGTACTTATCACTATTTATAAATATTTATATATTTATGTGCTTGTTTATCCCTTCCTCTCTCACTAAACTGTTAGCGTCACGAGGCAGAAACCTTGCATATTTTAACACTATTTCCAAATAACTTAGAATAGAGCCTAGTACACCATAAGTAATCAATAAATATTTGTTGAATGAATAAGAGAAAAAGTAGGGTAGAAAATATTTATTCCCATTCTTCACTTGAAGAAATGAAAGTTCAAAATACTGAAAAGCTTATTTATTCAAAAACATTTACTGAATCCAGGAGCTAGAAACAGAACACAAAACAGGTCTCTTATTCCTAGTTCAGTGATCCTTCCACTTGACCAAATCATCTTTTCAATGTGTAAATCAGACTAATTTTTCATCCAAAAGAATCTTCTTTATATAAATTCTATAACAACTCATTTCATTTCATGTGTGTGTGTGTGTGTGTGTGTGTGTGTGTGTGTGTATTTTTGTTAGGCAAACTTTAAAGATATTTAAAAGTTGTTCCAAGTACACATACTTAAATAAGCAAAAGTTTACTCAACTATCTCCAACAAAATAGTCAAGCATGGTTTTCCTATTATGGAAAGCTTGGCACTCTCTGCTAGTATTGCAGTTCTTAAACTCTTTGGCATCAGGATACCATTAAAGCCTTAAAAATTACTGAATTTCTCAAAGACCTTTTGTTTATGTAGGTTACATCTACCAACAGTTGCCAAAATAGAAATCAAAAGAGGAGTTTAGACTTCCGGTCAAGATGGCAGAGAAGGTAAACACAGTACTCACTTCTTCCCACAACCATGTCAAAATTATAACTAAACTACAGAATAACCAACATTCAGAACTGCCTGAAATCAAGCTGACTGAAAGTCCTACAACTACTAAATTAAAGAAGAAGCCACACAGAGACTGGTAGGAGAAGCAGAGGCACAGATGGGCTGGTCCCACACCCATGTGTGGTGGATAAAAATCAGGAGGGACACCTCGGCTGGGAAGGTCCTCCCTGAGGAGTGAGGGGTCCCCGTCCCACACCAGGTCCCTCAGCTCAGAGTTCCAGTGCCAGCAAGAGAAGTCCCCATAACTCTGGCTGTAAAAATCAGTTTGAGGCTAAGGGAGGCTGAGGCTGCTAGAGTCCCAGGCAGTTCCTCTTAAAGGGCCCTCACATGTACATACTTGGACTCTCTTCCTCTGGACTCCAGTGTTGGGGAGACAGCTTGAAACCTAGAAGCCCTTCCCCCATGGGGAAGCCAGAGGGTACCATATCCAGGACTCCAGCAACCTGGCTCACACTGTTTGCCCTGCCCTGGTAATTCCTTGGGGCTCTGCCTCACTCAACTTAAGGGCACATCCAAGTTATTTCCAGTGGCTTTACCACAGATTTGGCCTGTCTTGGCTCTTGCCTCAGATTTTCCTAAATTCTCTCAAACAAACAGCATTCAACCTCAGCAATTCCCACATCTCTCACTAAGTGGACCAAGGCCCAGCACTAAAAATAGCCAGCCTTGGTTTACAGCTTGGTTTTGCCTAGGCACCTCCAAGCGCAGCACAAGAAGCAGTCATCTGCAGATCACTTTGTAGCTTATGCATGGTGGCCCCAGGTAGATCACAGGCAGTGGCTGACCTTGCCCCAGAGCCAGCACACCTAGTGGACAGCTTCAGACCACGTTTAAGCACCCACCCCCCGACCAACCACCTCTATAAGTGACATATTCAAGGAGTGGACTCAGTGGGTACCAGAGCCCTGATGAAGTAAGTTTTGCTCTGTGCAGTGGGCCCTTGCACAGCTGATCATTCAAGGTTGTCAGAGGTCAGTGAACACTGCCAGTCCTTGCAGCTGATCAGCCTAAGTAAAATACTCCCATTGACATGCCAACAGCAATCAAGACTTAATTACAACAGAAGGGTGGACAGTCCACATGAGGGGTGCACCTCGAAGGCCCAGTTGGGGTGACCCCAGGGAGGCTGTGCCACTGAAACCTACAGGACACCTACTACAATAGGCAACCCTACAAAGCCTAGGAGACATAGTGACTCTACCTAATACATAAAAACAAACACAGCAAGGCAGCCAAAATGAGGAGACACCAAAGCATGCCCCAAATGAAAAAAAAAAAAAAAAAATCCAGGGAAAGAACTAAACAAAAAGGAGGTAAGCAATCTGACAGATACAGAGTTCAAAAGACTGGTTATAAGGATGTTCAAGAAACTTAGTGAGGACCTCAAGAGCATAAAAAAAAGGACTAGTCAGAAATGAAGGCTGCACTAGCTGAAATAAAGAATAATTTACAGGAAATCAATAGTAGAGTAGGTAAAGCCAAGAAGCAAACCATTGATTTGTAATGTAAGGAAGCAAAAAACACCCAATCAGAACAGCAAAAAGGAAAAAGAATCCAAAATCATGAGAATAGTGTAAGGAGCCTCTGGGACAACTTCAAGTGTACCAACATTTGCACCATGGGAGTGCCAGAAGGAGAAGAAAGACAGCAAGAAACTGAAAACCTATTTGAAAAATAAAGACAGAAAATGTCCCTAACTTGGTGAAGGAAACAGACATACAAGTCCAGGAAGCACAGAGCGTCCCAAACAAGATGAACCCCAAGAGGCCCACACCAAGACACATCATCATCAAAATGCAAAAGGTTCAAGACAAAGAGAGAATCTTAAAAGCAGCAAAAGCAGTTAGTTACCTAAAAGAGAGCTCCCATAAAACTGTCAGCTGATTTCTCAAAAGAAACTTTGCAGGCCAGAAGGGAGTGGCAAGAAATATTCAGAGTGATGAAAAGCAAGAACCTACAACCAAGATTACTCTATCCTGCAAAGCTATCATTTAGAATCGATGGCCATATAAAGACTTTCCCAGACAATAAAAAGCTAAAGGAGTTCACCACCACCAAACCATTATTATATGAAATGTTGAAGGGTCTTCTTGAAGAAAAAGATAAAAAATATGAACAAACAAAATGGCAATGAATACATATCTATCGACAATTGAATCTACAAACAAAATGAACAAGCAGAACAGAAACATTCTCATAGATACAGAGAACATTTTGTTGGTTGCTAGTTGGGAGGGGGGTTGGGGGAATGGGTGAAAAAGGTGAAGGGATTAAGAAGTACAAATTGGTTGTTAGACTGACAAACCTCAGAGGGAAAGGGGGGTGTGCAGGAAGAGATAAACCACAGAAAGTATATGCTTACGTGCATAATCAATGGACACAGACAATAGGGTGGAGAAGGCAAAAGGGGTGTGGGAATGGAAAGGAGGAGAGGGTCAATGGGAAAAAAAGGGGGAACATCTGTAATAATTTCAAAACTAAAGACCAATTTTTAAGAAACAAGAATTTAAAAATATTTATTAATTCTTTTTAAAATAATAAATACCATCGCATATTAATATAAATAATACTTTCTTATTTTAAAAAACAATTTTCCAAAACAAAAGAAAAACTTAGTGAAAAGAGTGGCACTGTTTTACATTTCTGCGTATCTCCTTAATATTGAACTAAATAAAAAACAGCTGGATTCTCATATCTGCTTCTGCATTCAATCTGTTCTAACATCACACAACATATCATATAGCCTCTGGAAACTGCACTTACAAAAGAATGAAAGGGAAAAAAGGTAAATAATGTCTTAGTATTATTATAAAAGTACTGTGGTTTCATGGACAGCCTAAACTACTGCCCTAAATTACACTGGCTTAACTATTGACTTTTTATTACAGACTTCTTCAACTTTAAAAAAGAAATGTAAAACTTGATCTTCTATAATTCCCAGGGCTCTTGTTTTATTTTTTAAAAGAAATATTTACAGAGCAGTACTCACTAGTGCTAGATATTTGCACATGTTTTCATTTAAATCCTCAACGATATTCTTGGAATATTCTTTTTCAACACACAAAGGAAACAGTCTGAGGGATTAAATAATCTGCTCCAGATCATACTGGTAGTCACTGGTAGAGCTGAGACTCAAATCTGGGCTTTCTAACACTAAGGCCAGGACTTTTTTTTTTTTTATCCTCACCTGAGGACTTTTTTTTTTTTTTTTGCATTTATTTTCAGATAGAGTGGAAGGGAGAGAGGAAAAGAGAGAGAGAAACATCAATGTGAGAGAGACACATCGAGTGGTTGCCACCCACACAACCCCAACTAGGGCCAGGGACAAACCACAACCGAGATATGTGCCCCTTGTGGGAACTGAACCCGGGACTCTATGGTCCACGGGCAGATGCTCCAACCGCTACGCCAAACCAGCCAGGGCAAGGCCAGGACATTTACACTACATTATTACTGACTACTCTTGCAAATGGGAAACCAGGTGGAAAGTGAGGCAACTAATGAATGGCAATGGAGTGTTGGTGGTTATCTGGTCTATTAGTGGCTTATACATTTTGGCTAACAAGTCC